TTGGGGTAAAAATTGGGAGTTCATAACCCACTTCAATCTAATGTATGAAATATGATATGTCAAGAGCTTTGTAATGTTGTGAACAACCAATAAAAAAAGAAAAATAAATAAAATAAAATAGTCAAAATCATTAAGATAGAAATATGGAATGATAGTCCCTCAAGGTTCTGGGGAAAGAAAAGAATGAAGTTATTGTTTACTGGGAATAGTTGTAGTATAGAATGATCAAAAGTTTCTGAGATGAACAGTAGTGATGGTTGCATAACATCACAACATTGTAAGTGTTGTTAATGTCACTGAATTAGATATTTACAATGGTACATTTAATGTTATTATGTATATGATTATACATATATATGAATATTTAATTAATTAATTAATTTAGCTGTGTTAGGGATTTAACCAGGGTTTTATGCATGTAGGCAAATGCTCTACTCACTGAACTAAACCCCAAACTTCTTATATATCTCATACATATTTACTACAGAAAGTTAAAAAAATAATTTCTACTGGTAATCACATATACACACACAATGCATTTTTGCAGATTTGGTTTCCTACAATACCAAAATCAATGATTATGTATGTGCATCTCTATGTGCTTGTGGTTAAATGTATGCACATCTGTGTGTCTATGCATGACTTCTATAAGTAATAAGCTTATTGACCAGAAATCATGTTTGAAAATATTTATAAGAGCATGTACTGTTACATCCTTCATGCCATTCCATCAACTTAATGATATTGTCAGACTATAATGGAACCACATTCAAATCATAATATTTAATCTATCTAAGCAAAAGAGAAGGTTCCACAAATTTCTTCTCAATCACCTTCATAGCTCAGTCATGTATTTTAAAATTTGAATCTAATTTCGCTTAGTATATTTGCTCTTTCTTTAGGGTTTGAGAGATTAATTTCACTATCAAAAATCTAGTTCGGTATTGAAACATTCTTCTACCAGTTCTCCATCAACATCTGCTCTTGTATAACCCCCATCATTCTCTGTCTGGATCCTTACCCTTTCTTGTTGGAAATCACACACTATCCCACATTATGCCACAACTATTTAGGGTGATCTTCAAGATTCTTTTATCAAATTCCCAAAGATAATACACCAATATTTTCTAGTGTAAGTTGAAAAAATTAAAAAACAAGGTTTGCATCCTGAGAGCTTAGTTGATATTCAAAGACTGAATTAGCAAGTTTCTTGTTTGAACTCTGACTTCCTGCCCAGAACATTGTCTCCATCGAGGATGAATTTCATCCCATCATCTTGTCCTTCAAGAAGCCCTCCTTGATTTACTTCAGCAACTCTGCCCATGCCCCTGATGTCCTCAATTTACTTTGGAAATGAAAGCCTTGGCATCATAGGATTTGAGTTACAGATGGGACTGCAAAAGGATTTTAAGTCAGCCCTTATAGTACCCAGTAAAAAAGAGCTTACTTTTCTAAATGCACTCAGTTGAAAATAAAGAGATGTAGCTAACTTTTTTTGACATGTTGTATGTATAATAGGTAGATGGATGGATAGACAATAGAGAAGAAAAGACTATCATTGATATAATGTTTCTTATGAATTTAAAATTTCTTTGCCTCAAACTGGGGCCCTAGTATAATGGAAACCAGTGATAATTGCTTAAGAGACTATTTCTTATATTCTAGATTTCCCTGTGGAGCCAGAGTAGACCACTTGGTCATTACTCACTTGAAGGTCAGGAGAGAAAACTGCTGCATTTATCTTTCTCAATTTTATCAGTTACCAAGAGATATGAGAAACATTGGATATTTTTGGTTTTATCTGGAAATACCATCTTCTTTGGTTCTGATTTCATTTGTTGTGGGGAGTGCTCAGATTAGAACTCCTGTCTTTGATAAGTAATGACTAGATATGGTTCCCTCCCTCGATAGGAAAGATTGCTGGGGCTCATGACCTAGGAGGTGGGTACATCCCCCACAACAAACCCCAGTTGCTCACCCTACCTGTCTGAGACCAGCAATGAGCTGGTATATTATTAACCCATCTTCTGACTGTAGGACTGAGAGCACCCAATCTTCCCTGGGGCATTACCAAGGCTTCCTTAAGAGTGGTGAAGAGAGTTGTTTATCAAGGGTGGCCTTGGAGAACTCTGAGTCCCAGTGTGGTAATTATAAACATTCCATATTCCACTTTAAGCCTACTGTATTCACCATACATCTGAAATATCTTATTTTCCCCTTGATTTCTCATATAATATTCATATATCCTCAGATATATGAATAATTGATGCAACTAAATACTTATTTCCTTGATGTGAAAAAGTTTGAAGCTTGATTTCTCTGTTACAAAATTTAATGTTTTAATATTTCTTGTTTGTATGTTCTGCTTTTATTTCCAGTATATTTAAAATGCACTTATTCACTAAAAATTATGTATTGAGAAAATAACCTTTCTACATACTCTATGAAATAAAAAAGTCAATATTTGCTGAGGGCCATTGCCAAGTAGGAATGGCGCATCGAAATTTCCTTGCCAAGCGTACCCCATGCTGCTTAGAGGACATTCGATGGGACATTGCATGCATGCTTTAATAAAGTGACCTTGCTCAAGGACCAAGGCGGATCCGGGTTTAGAGCTGATCAGGTTTGAGGAAGTAACCGGCTCCTTGAGTTTAAGGCGTTGCCAGTTTAAGATAATGGGTTTTAGGGAAGTTGGCGGTTGAAGATTATTGCTGGGATTAGGGTGTTCCTGCTGCTTGTTCCCGTTGAGTTCTCGTGAGATTGAAATGGGATTTGGAGATAGCCTCCTGGAGTAGGTGAATTGTGCGGGAGACGGCAGAACGCATTGCCCCTGGACCTGTGTGGAGGTGGTGTGAGAGCTGGAATAAAGAATTGCTGTTTGAATCTACAAAGCTGTGTGGTGGCTCATGATTCTGGAGCCGAGACATTGGCCATTGGCAAATATTTAAAATTATGTGCCTTCAGTTAAGGAATTATAATGCAATGTAAGAGAATAGGTCTGTTATTACTAACTTTACCTCGACAAAGTTTTTGACATGCTTGAGCTTCAGTGTTTCTCCACCAGTATTATGATGCAATGTTACCTATTCTGTACTACTGTTTGTGGATTAATGACAAATTGGATAGGAAATGCATGTGTATGGTAGACAGCCATTCAGTGGTAGTTAGTGTTACTGTGATAAAAACATTGATTTGGTGCCTTCCATTTGTCTGAGAAAATGCAAAAAAATATAATCTCTGATTTTAAGAAAGTCCACAGTATAACAAGAGATAGACATACTTGAAATGATCAAAATTAACGTGGTAAGTATTACAGTATTACAAGATGATCTATATTACTGGGGTACTGACCCTCTGACTGGGATAGAGAGACACTTGGCCCAAGAGAGCTCTTAATGCCTGTGAGTATGAAGAGTGAGCTCTGTTCCTCTCTGCTGACTGGGAAAAGGAGTCAGTTGGACAGCTTGTCCCTGGACTCTTACTGTTCACAGTTTTGAATTGCTGTGCTGCCTTCTTATTCTGGGATACCCTTGATACTGTGCTATTCAAGCACCTTGAACCCTTCTATAACAATGAGGCCTGCAGGTACAAGCTGTCTCTGGCTTCCCTGCACTACAGAAGCCTCAGTTCTGGTGGGTACAGCCCACTGGGATTTACTCATCACCATGATGGGGTGGGGTGTCAGTTGGCCCATCTTTGTCTGAGCTCCCACAGAGGCTGTGTTGAGTGCTGGGTCAGAGTTAGCAGCTCTGAGAGCAATTAGCTCTTGGTCAGCTCCACTGCACTCCTCTTGTCCATGGTGAGGGAAAGGGCGTTTCAGTAACTTTCAGTTAGCAGTGATTCCTCCACAGATAACTTCTAGACAGATTACTGGGTCAACCCATTTCAGAGGTATTCCCTCTAGTTTTATTTGTTGCCGTCTGAAGGTGGAGTGGAGCTGTGTTGATTTAATTTCTTTCAGGGAGGTTGGCTAGCTATGAATTCTATAAAATGGCTGCCAGGCCTGGCATGGCTTTCAGTCCACAGTTTGTTCTAAGCTACTTGATCCAATTCACCATCTTTGTTATTTATGTCACATTTTAATTCAGCCTACTTTTCTTTCTAGCTGTTGTTAAGGAAGTAAGCACATGTGCTTTTCTTCTCCCTTTCTCTTGTTGTTACCCCTTCCCCAAACTACACCCTGGTCAGGGTTATGGATCAAGGAATGTTATCCTTATTTTCTGCTCCAGTAACGAAACACCAGTCTCTCCAAGTGTCAAATTGTTCAATATTGAGTTTCAGAATATTTACTCTGTCATCACCCCCTGGGCATTTGCTCTTTCCCTGCTTTCACTCAGGACTATGGAGGGTTCAGGGATTGCAGCCTAGCTCTGATCTTCCAACTTTGCTCCTCCTCATTACTATCTTTTTTTTTTACAGATCTTTTTTTTCTGCCATATTCTTTCTTTAGGATTGCTATTTTATTGTTGCCCTTTCTGTTACATGGGATGTACACATCAGGTGTTAAAAGGTACAATACATTCTACAACTGAGCACCACTTTCTGTAACTGAACAGGCAAAGAAATTACACTGAACATCAGCATCTGGCAGTATTTTTTTTTGGAAAAAAAGTGACTAAAATGGGTTTAAATTGATTAACACTATTAAATCATATCTAATATTTGATACTACATGATTCAATACAGCTATACGATACAATTATACAAAATGTGTTAACATCAAAGATTACAACCAAAATTAAGATAGCAAACAAACCTATATAAGTTTTTTTTGTACAGGAAAATACTTTTGAAGTATGCATGTAACTGCCCATTCTTTTAAAGAAAATCTACTGCAAGCAAAGTTATCAACCTCCAGAAAAATCACACATAGCATTACTAAGTATATCCCCAAAATGTGTACAATATGCACACTTGGAAAATACAAAATTAAAAAAATTTTAAGCAACAGGTGAGCTTCATATTTATAAGAATGTGAAAAGAAGTCCCATTTTTAGCACTGTTGTATAAAGAATTGTCTTTTGATGTGAAGTTCATGAATTGTCCTCCTGCTGGGACCACACTTTACAAAAACACGTGTTTTTGAAACGAGATTACAGAGCAAGATAGAGCATCTTAGCAATGTCATCTTATTAAAGTTTTTTTTTAAATTTTTACTACTTTATCAAAACATGTCCCTTAGGTGTGTAGGATTCATTTTTAAAATTCTTCCTGGAAATAATATACAAAGGAGAGGCATATTTATTCCCATTCACACTCCTGGAAGATGCTTCCTGCAGTCTAGAAGGGTCTTCTTTTTCTTCTTTTCACTGGTTGTTTTTGGCCTTCGCATGTGTTAAGATGTGAGATTTCAGGTTAGTTGACTGAGCAAACTTTTATTACAACCATGGAAGGGGCACACATAGGGCCTGTCTCCGGTATGGATTCGCACATGTGTGCGCAATTTGAAGTCCAGTGAAAAGCGTTTCCCACAGCCTTCGAATGTGCACTGGAAGGGATTCTCTCCAGTATGAACCAGTTGGTGTCGTTTCAGTTTTGAGCTCTCAACGAAAGCTTTGCCACATTCTGCACAGACGTGGACTCTGGGGCCATGGGTGTGCAGATGTTTTCTCATAGCAGAGTTATCCCTGAACATCTTTGTGCAGCCTTTATGAGGGCAAGCTATTGTTCTTGGAGCATCATCTTCTTTAATTTTTCTTGGCTTCATTCTAGCAAGTTCTGCCAGCTGTTTTGGATCTGAGAGGTCAATGCCAGGGATTCCTCCAGGAGGGAGTTTCTTTCCTGTCATATACTCTGAATAATCAGGAGGCCAGTTCTCTCCAATGATCTGTTCTTCATCCACTGTCTCATGGTCAATATCTTTTGTTTCATCCAATCTATTTGCAGAGAGCTGAACGCTAAACCCCAGCAAAACCCAGGGGCGCTTGCCCCATGCGCAAAGGCCGTTCCTGCAGCTCCCACCAAGCTCCAGGAGGGCGCCCCCGTCATGGTGACAGGCTCCAACCAAGGCCAGAGCCTGCACATGGGGGCTCTACGTGAGGCACCAAGTCCCGCCCCTCAGTGGGGCAGGGAGACCACCGGGCAGGATCCAGACTCCAGGAGCTCATTACTATCTTTATTGGAAGATACTTTTAAATGTATGTTATGGGCATAAAATTGTATCTAATTATTACTGTAATTTGCATTTAATTCATTATGAGTTGGACTCAACATCTTTTTACATGGTTTATTGTTCATCTCATTTTTGAAAAATTTTTTAATATTCTTAGCTTTTATTTTCTGAATTCCTTTTTTTTATTATTCATCTCATTTTCTTCATGAATTATCTGCTCATATACTTTTACATTCTATTGGACTATTTTATTTTTTCTAATAGATTTGTAGGATGTTTGTTATATACAATGCAAATGTATTCTAATCTCTAGTCTGATTTTTCACTTTACTAATGAAATATTTGTGTGCCATTACATGGTGCTCACATTTGTGAATTTACTATAAATCTATTTGTTTTATCATTTAAGTTTGGACAAAGAGAGAAGATAGTTAATAGGCACAGATGTGCAGTTGTATAGAATGAATAATTTGTATATTTTATAGCCTGGAACACATTGCTGGTGGTTTTGGTGCTCATTTCTTTTTTATCCTCCTCTCTCTTGCATGAAAATATCTCCTCCATGACTCCAAGTTGCATGGACTACGACTAGGTTCAGCTGACCAGATTTGGATGCCTCTTTTACTCAATGCTATCCTAATGAATTTGAGTTTTTCTTCATTCAGATAAATGACACTCATATATATGCTAACCACTAGAGTTTTAGAAGATTAATGACTGTAGGAGAACTTAGAACAGGTTCTAAGGTATTTGAGGAAGTGACCAGGGGCCATTTCTTAGAAATGAAGTGGTGAACTCATGTCCTCCACATTTAAGGTCAGTGCCATCTACATAACTCCACATTGGGAGTTATTGACTCTGGAAAAGGCATTTTTCACAATTAATTTTCCCCTCACTCTCAGAAATGTGTAGAATCCTTCCCTTACTCTAATCTCTACATCTGGCCACAACACATCCATTTCTCAGGGTTATTTTTGTGGGATGTTGTGATACAGATCAGCAGTGACTCCCTCCTGAACAACAATGGTAGATACAAGGTACAAAGCAACTCATGAGATTCCCACTTGCAACTTTCCACAAAGGAAAGAGCTAAAATCCTGAGTCCCACCAACACTGTTTTCTAGTGACCAGCTAACTCTAAATAACAGAAAGTGTTTAAGGAAATAAAAGTTATCACAGAAAATATTCTTCAGCCTCATTACCCCTCCTACCTGGAAATGCTATCTCTCCCTAGTACATTCCACAGAGCCCTCTTGACATCCTTGTTCTTTAGGGTATAGATCAGAGGATTAAGCATGGGACTAATGACAGTATAAAAAAGGGCAACAAACTTTCCTTCACTCTCAGAATAACTGCCCATGGGTTGGAGATATGTGTACATGGCTGAGCCATAAAATAGACAAACCACCAGAAGATGGGAGCCACATGTCCCAAAAATTTTTCTGTGCCCAGTCATTGACTTGATCTTCAGCACTGCCTGAGCAATGTGTGCATAGGATCCTAGAATTAGTGCCACAGAAACAACCAAGATTATGGCTCCAGCCACAAAGAGATTGTCCTCTGTTCCTCCTGTATCCTCACAAGCCAACTTCAGTAACACAGGCATCTCACAAAAGAAGTGGTTCAGGGAGTGAAGGCCACAGAGTGGCAGGGATGCCACAAGGCCTGTCTGAATAAGAGCATTCAGGAGGCCTCCCACCCAGGAGGTGATAGCCAGTGACTGGCAGAGCAGGGGATGCATGATGGTTGTGTAGTGGAGTGGACGACACACAGCAGCATAGCGGTCAAAGGCCATCACCACCAGGAGCACCCACTCAGTTCCACCCAAAGCAAGGGCAATGAAGAACTGGGCCACACACCCTCCATAGCTGATGGTCCTGTCAAGTCCAGAAAGATTGATCAGCAGCTGGAGCATAGTGCTGGTGGTATAGCAGAGGTCCAGGAAGGAGAGGTGGCAGAGGAAGAAGTACATGGGCGTGTGCAGTCAAGGATCCAGTTGTGAAAGTATAATAATGATGCTGTTGCTAAAGAGAGTCAGAGAGTAGAATACTGAAATGAAAGTAAAAAAGGGGAGCTCCAGGTGAGGTCAATCTGAGAAGCCCACCAAAATGAATCCCTCTCCCAAACTGGTATTGAAAGTTCCCATAGCCTTTTACCTGCACAAATAACAGAAGACAATTCAATGCTCTTGTTGAAAACATATTAAGTTTTTATGTCACAATATTGCCTAACACTGTTTTGCTATTGTATGCATTTTTGTCCTGTCTTATTTTCCTAGCTCTTCTCTAAGGAAGATAGCACTGGATTAGGAGTGATAAGAACTTGATTTGAACTCTATTTTTGTTGCTTGTTTGTTCTATGACTATAGCAAAGGTCTTGTGTGAAAATGTCAAGGATGCATCGCCTTCCTCATTGCACTGAGGACCTACTGCAGTTATGTGAAAACAAGCTTTTAAAATGTAGAATGTGGGGCTTGGGTTGTGTCTCAGTTGTAGAGTGCTTGCATAGCACATGTGAGACCCTTGGTTGGATCCCAGCAGCACATAAAAAGAAATTAATAAAATAAAGATAATTTGTTCACATACAACTAAAGGTAAAAATTCAAGTGTTGAATGTTTTTATATCCAATACATTTTCTGACATAATAGCTCACAATTCATAGAAAAGGACAGGTTTAAAGAATTCAGTGAATGTTTAAAAAAATCCTAAATAAAAATTATGCAAAGAGGACTGTGCTACAGATAGCAAACAACTCTTTCTGGAGAGTTGAAGAATGGATATAACAGTTGTATTCTATATTGTTCTCTTTTGCACTCCTTCTTAATTAGGTAGACTTTTATATTAGATTAGAATCAAGGTTTACCCAGGATGAAAGCTCAAGTTTGAACACAGGTGCTCATTTATTTCTTTCTGCTCAGAGAATGTGGTCAATTCAACATTAATCCTTGGAAATCCACCTCATGACCAGCTGCCATCTGTCTCTAAGAACTGAGAAGAGTCTAAATTAATCTTGGAAAAAAATTAAAAACACATCAGTTCATTATTGTCGCGACCCCTTGCCCACAAGGAAGACGCAACTCGGGAATCTTCTTTCAGCGGTTTATTCAGGCCCTTGATATTTCTTCTACTAATCCCTCGGATGCCCCTCCCAGCCTTAATATAGCATCTCAAGCCCCAATGCGAAGCTGCCACGTGGAACTTTTTCATAGGGTGCTGAAAAACCATGCGCCAACTCTCCCAAATAAGGAGTTGTTTGTCACATACCACAGCGGAGCCAGCGCCATCTTGTAATGGCGACCATAATCTACATAAGCGGCAGAGGCGGCTCACCACACATTATAATGAGTTATGATACATTGAAATATTTTCCACTCTTTGGCTTCTTGTAAATTCATCTTTTCACTTGGAGTTGAGGAATAGAATCATGACATACAAGTTTTACTGGCCTCCATATTCCCCAACCAAAGGTAACAGCTTGAAAATATCTACTTCCTTTCATATTGCCTAAGTTTTTCATCCCAGTAAAAGAAAGAAATGATGTTAGGCTGGTACAGATGGTTGATAATAACTCACACTTTTAACCCAGGCATTGCTGGGTGTTCACATATTATACTACTACAACTTCACATTAAAAAAAAAAAGTGTTAGTAACACACAGTCTGCACTTAGATAGAACATGGGGTATTATTCAAGTTCTTGGCCATAGACATACATTATGACCTTGAAAAAAATAGTTTAAAAGAATAAAAAAACTAATAAGAAATTTTAAACATTTTGCATGAGAAACAAGTGTTCCTGACAGCTTTCAGATTAGAAAAGAAAATACTTAAAGACACACAGTTTGGTTTATATACATGTTTAAAGATCTGTCATATGAAAATGTGGTAGATTTCCTTTGTTTTTCTCAAAAGACAAACTCAGAACTATTTATAATAGGACAGTTTGTGACTCAATAAAGAGAGAACTTGAATAAAGTTCAGTCTAAAATTAGGTTGCCTAGAAAGGAATTGATATCCTTGTAACATGAATGCTTCCTGTTCAAACACTGAAATTTGACCCATGAGGACGCTATAACAATGTTCTTGCATCGAATATAAAATAGGTAGTATGATTTTCTTTAAATTACTAATCTAATTATTTAAAAAAATTAGTTCTTACTCCTGATATTTTTTGTGCACAGAATGCATTTTACATTTGCATATGTGGTTTTCTGCAATTCAACCGTCAGTGATTACTTGTGTTCAATTCTCTGTGTGTTTGTGTTCAAATGTGTGTCCATCTGTGTGTCAATGTATCACCTCTATAAATAATGAAATTCCTGATCAGAAATTATTTTTAATTTTTTCTAATCATCTGTGGTACTACATCCTTCTGTCTAGTCTACCAATTTTATAGCCATATTTTAAAACCATAATATAAAGTTTACTATCTGAACACAGATATTTGATAATTGCTTTAGAGAATATTTCTTGTCTTCTAGATTTTACCTGGAAGCTGAGTTATCCACTCAGTCATCACTCACTTGAAGTTCAAGAAGTGAAAACTGCTGTATTTACATCTCTGAACTCAACGGGTTTCAAAGGATATGTGAAACCCATTGCAGATTGGTGGCCTCTAGTGATGTTTGAAAAAGACTCTTTCCTCTTTGGTCCTGATTTCATCTGTGGTGAGAAGTCCTGCTTTCTTATGGTTCCTTCCTTCAGTAGAAGAGATTGCTGAGACTCCCAATATAGGAGGTG